TAAATGGAGGTCCCGTCTCCTGCAGGGTTAGGGGTAGGAGACGTTAATTTCCCACACACGAGATTACTGTGTGATGGATGTCCTCCCCTGCGGTGGGATGGGTGGGTTTCCACATTTGCATTTAAACGAGCTATTGCTCATATGCGATATGCGGTTAAATAAAATTACTTACTTAAATAAAATTACTTGCTTACTTAGTTACATGCATTAATAATGCCTGTTTTAAATGAATATTGCATAAACTTTAATGTATAAAAAATAAATCGCCATGCTCATTTCTGGGAGGTTGGAAATTAACCCTTAGACCCCTGCGGTAGACCAGAATCTAATTTCTCCTTACAACACCACCCTAGATTCTCACATCAACCTTTTCACTACCAAGATCTCATTAGTGATTCTCATGACCATCTATTATACAATTCTTTTGATGTTAGTTTGGAGAATTTGGTATTGGATCAACTGATAATCCCCTGATTTTCTTTTTTTTTTTCTTATTTTCATTACTTGTCTGCTTGATAGTGTATTGATATTGTAAGGAGAAATTCTGTCTTGATCACTCATAGGAGTGAGAGGGTTAAGGTCATGAGAACAAAGGAAATGTTCATTAACAAAAGAAACTCTTGATTATAAAGGAAAATTCCTTACTTGACAAGGGAATTCCACATTAAATTGCACACGAAAACCGATATCGCACGAATCGCTTCGCGATTCGTGCGATATTGGTTTTCAAGTGCAATTTAATGCGGAATTCACGAGTGAAGTAATGGATTTTCCTTGAATCACACAACTGAATAAAAATGAGAAAATAAAGGAAACAGCAATACTTAAAATTGTTTTGTTTACGTAGATGCAAAACAATATCACTTAGCCTCGTTTTCAACTTGCAATTCCATGCTAAATACCTTGCTTCGTTAACCAATCAGAATGTGAGATTTTACTCAATGATGCGATTCTGAGATAAATTCTCTTTGTTGCCACTTTACAAAATATATAGTAAACGTTATTGAGAATATGCATACTCGAGGCTGTGCTTAAGACAAATTGAAGAGAGCCCAGTGCTCAGTACTGTGAAATCCAGGGTGCCCAGCATATACTTTTTATGAAAAAACTAAGATTCCTGGGTTGCCCAAGAACAAATGTAAGGTGCCAGGGGCCACCAGGCGCTGCTAGACCACAGCCCTGATACTAATGTTAGACGTCTGTCAATTGTTAGCGAGCAATGAAAAATAACATTGAATTTACATTCCCAGACATACCCAACAAACTTTTTGATTTAGCAGAAAAAAAGTGCAGTGAAAGTTGATCACCTTGGAAAAATGTGGAATTGAAACATGAATTACATTCAAATTAAAAACAAGAAATAGCTTTAGCATCTACCATCTCTGTATATCCTGTCCACTGTTATATCATGGATATCATGTTTGATGACGGGCAGAGAAGCAGATGTCAACAGGCAGTCCCACACGGCTGTGTCATTAGCCCAACAGGGAGCAGCATTCGCTCTTGTCCTGTCCCCATGTCTGTGGTAAAAAAAAAGATTATAGAACTCAAAAATACTGGATAAATCAACCTTCAAAAACATTAAAAAAAAAAAAAACCCAAAAGATTAAAATCAACACTGAAGAGAGGGGTAAAGGAGAGGGGGGGGGGCAGATCTTGTGCATATTTCACAGACATGAAAAAGTAGAAATAATGCATCACAAATAATCAATTAAACAACTTTAAGGCTCAAAAAATGGAAAAAGTGTAGTCAGGAGATGTCACGAATTTTATGGAAATTGGTTGCCTCTGACAGAAATAACAACAGTCAGAGGCAACCAATTTCCAAACAACTTCAAGGCTCACATATTGCAAAACCAAAAAATTCACAGTTCATGGGTTTTAATTTCATATTTTCACTGGTCATGAAATTTAAAAAACTTGGTCCTGTAACATGCAATGACACCTTTCTCCACTTCACTGAAAAATTCCTTAAGTAAACCATTCCCAGCCCCTTGAAAAACAAGCGTTAGAATCCACCTAATATTAATTTAACTGACAGGAGTGCTATGTGAGCATTTTCAGGACCTCACATGCCAGTCACAGCCAGGAAAACTAGGTGGCCTAGAATACTCTTTTCATTACCGTTATATGCAACAGACCTTTCCTAAACAATAGGTTTTGCAACATAAATTTGACGCATGCACTAAAATCAGGGCAACTTAGTTACATCAAACCCAAAAGGATAACAATGAATTTTGAAGAAATGTTACTGTGATATAGAAACTATATTTTGAATCTAAGTTCTGTCGAGTTCATTGCTTCAGCCGACGACATTTTGTCGCCAGGACTGTCTCAAAAACGAACATCGACTTGCAAAATCTATTTTTAGATCCTGAGGAAATGGTTCTGAACATAAAAAAATAAATAAAAGACACATCGCACAGCAAATGAATCAGCCTTCTACGGAAAGATTTCCTCATTATTCCCATGCTATTTAAAAGCATCCAAGAACTGTATGCAAATTAAAGTCTGGGACTGTGCAGGAATCTTGCCCCTTCTTATTGCAAATTTTGTGACAAACATAGCAATTAAGTTAAAGCGAAAGAATTCAAGCTTGTATGTGAGTCTTCAAAACTGAACTGATAATGATCGGTGAGGAAATTAAAGATGTTAAGGAAAATTTTCCCGTTCAGCAAGACATTTGGAGAAGCAAAACACGCACTTTTAAAAACGAATGTTCCAAATTCAAATATTGAAAAAAATTAGGGACCGGAGGAAAAAGCTTAATGCAAATCTTGTGAAAGATTTGAAAAATTAGGGGAAGGAAAAAAAATGTTTGTACCCGTTTGTGAAGTTTATAAACTCACCTGATAATCACGTGTACTTGTTTGAGGGTATATTCTTCTCCATTGTCTCCCATTTGCAGTGGGATGTATTTATAAGAATCATTTCCACAATATGGTAAAGTTGCCCAACTTAGAGCGCAATGGCTAAAGAAACAGCAAAATGCCAAGAAAACTCTCGCAGCTGAATTCGCAGCCATGTTTCACCATCTTCCCTTGCGTGACTCTCCTTTCTCTGCTTAGGGTGTAGAAGAATGGGGCGAGTAAGAGTAAGTTATTGCCCAGTCTCTCGGGCTCTTGAGATTACATGGCCAAACTTGTTTAGGTGTTACCGGAGACGCTACTGTACAATCATTTTGAGATGTTTTTCATCTATTGTAATATCAGCAAGAGCTGAAAAAAAAATATGACATCTTCGGATCTAGTGGGCATAATTTTTTGATTCTCTCTCTTCAAAGAAAACATTTTTCCTCTAAGTCTTCATGATGCCCCGATCACACTTTTACGACATTACTCCAAGGTAAAACTTTATTTTTTTCACGTACCATCCTGAGATGAGTGTGAGATGTTTATCGTCTTCTTTAGTAATCCAAAACAAACAATAACTAGCATTGGGAAACAGTGTGATCACGTGCTAATTCCGAGTAACAATGGAAGCGATTCGAATTGAAGAAGTCGTCACCAACTGTTGAATGACCGAAGATGTTCCGAAACAAACAAGAGCCGAGAGCGAAGAATATCGGGTAAAACTCGACAGACTGTTGTAGGCTAAGAGGTTGTTCGTATTCTCTTGCTACTCATGTTGTCTCACCATGTCTACAGTCTGCAGTATTTTTTTTGCTTTGATATGCCGCTGTAGTCACTCTGAGTTGGCTCTACGACCCTTAAATCGAAAAGCGTCTGACCCGTAGAGCGCGCTCGAGCGTGGTTACAAGAGGTTACAAGTAGTCTCGTTCCCATACCTTCCACGGCCAAACGGTCGTAAGCACAGTTGCACGGTAGGATCCGGGCACGAGATTAGGTTACAGGGTGTAGCTTTTAATTGCGTCTCTGATATAACATCTTTTTTGAACGTTCCACAAAATTATGATTATCACCTCAAGCCTTTTTCCTACAAGAAACATAGCATAGCAGTAGAAGATTGTTTGCTTTGGACAAAATTTGTTGATGAAAACTCTTCAAGAGTGGTCCTTGAAGCGATCCAAGGATTTTTTATTGCTCTCATTGTCTTGCAAATGTTAACGAAATTTGTTTATTCAAAACGACATCAAAACAGTTAGCTGGAAAAAATCCTTTCTCCCTCAAACGACACTCGTGTAGAGTGTCCTGTTAACTTTGTAGTCATCTCTGTAAAACAGGATAAATTAAGTTTACCGTACTTCAACACGCAAAGAATTATTATCTGCGTTACAACTTGCACACGCTGTCAAATCTTTTGACCTCATGCCTTCGGTTATTTTCAGAGCTATGAGAAAATCCTAAAATGGGGTATTTTTCTCACAGCGAAAAAGTGGAACTATTTGTGCGACGTAGATTTCGAGCTTACTAAGCATAACATAACATTAATTGACCAAATTAGGCTCTCTTTTCAAACTTTTGCCCATAACAGGCCGGCGATGATTCAGTTAAGGAAACGCTCTTGTAAAATACCAAACAACTGCATATTGATTAAATAAAAGTGGGCGGTTTTCTTATCTGCAAGTTCCTTTTAAAAGGGCGCAGAAATCATTGAAACATGATGGATGCATAGAAGCTCTTTGGCGGTGAGTGTTGGGTAGATTTGTCCATCACTGATTTCTTGCAAAAAAGAGTCATGATGTTTGGAAAGTCAAAACTTGGTGTAAAAATTGGAAGTAGATCAAAACGTTGACTGAAATAACAGAATAAAACTAAACGCAAAAGCAGCCGAGCTTCGTTTACAAATAAAAAACAGATATCTCTCCCGCTAATACAGTGGTTAATATTCTTGCAGTCACTCATGCCGATCTGTCATGTCGGAAATTGTTTCATTCTAGATAACCTTCTTTGGATCGTGGAGATAAGGCCGTAATGTTATCCTTTAGTTTAAGGACTCCTGGATTAGAAGACTTATCGTGTTGTTGCATGCGGCCTGGTGCTCGTGGGCTGAGAAAATTTGCCGAGACAAATATGTAGGTGTGTCTAGAGAGCATAGCTTGGATAAACTTCGGTAAAAATGCAAGGGAGAATTGTTCGTGTACGGGTTTATTTTCCACTTTTGAGTGGTAGGAAACAGACTCTCAGGTGGAGGACAGTGAAATGGAATGTGCTAGAAAACGCAATGGAATATGAACAAGGATACTGATTGGCAAAAGAATATATATATATTACATGGCCACATTCCCTAGATATTTAGATCACTATCGGCTTTGAGTTCATCGGGGGCAAGTCAGCTCTAGAGATAAAAACTTTGAAATCTTAAATATTCGTCATATGTTTACAATAAGGATAATGAAAATTTGTTTCCCTGGTCGAATACAGCTGTAATATCGATCTAAACAAAGTTCAATTCGTGTTGTTTCGCTTGAGAGTTTCTCGATTTTTGCAAAGAGACAGCAATTGCTTTGGAGATAGTTCCAAAAGCTGTGTGTTAACTGGCGAAAATATAGCGGCCGACAAGCCACAAAAAAGTAATTGGAGATAAAATAAACAAATATGTTTCGATTTATTACCTGTTAGCAACACCGAGAGAAATTTTCTGGCTGGCAAATTGAACTGATTATTTTGACGTGACTGAGTCCTAATAATGGCAAAGACTTACCCACCGAGTTTTTCACAAACACGTTGGGGAACGCCCCAACAAAATCCACCGGTAGATTTAAATGTATGTATACTTATTGCGAAGAAAAAAAAAGATATACAGTAGCTAATGAATTGTCTTGTAAACTTCTTTATTTGTGGAATAAACATTTATGTTATAAATAACATGGAAATTGCGGTTTAACCGAGATCACGCAAATCCAATGACTCTTGAGAAGCATTTCCCGCGCGCAAAGCTGCGGTGAACGCATCATTGGTTTTGGGTTTTGAATCTAACTACAGAATACCTTTGAAATATGTACAATTGGCACATAAGCATAGATTTACCAAGTTTTTAAGACCCCTTGAGGGAAGCGCTTATGAGAGATTGTAATTGTCGTTGTTCAATCGCCCTCACTAACCCGTGATACGGACATTTATTGAACTATATAATTAGTTATCATTAGAGCATATTATCCGGGAAGTCCATTCGAAGTACAAGCTGTTTCTAAGGACTATCGCATCAGTGAAACCAGTGTTAATCTTTTCACCTTAAAAAGTCGTTAATAACTCCAAAGACTTTGACATTTCTTGAAAACATTAGAGGCCTATATGGTCATTACGAAAGTTGTTACAGATGTTCTAGAGCGTGAGTCAGCTAATCGGCCTATATAGCTTCCTCTAGTTGATTTAGTGCCCAATAAACTCTTCTATCTAACACTAAGAAAATATATACACTGAAGAGAGAGAGGAAGTAGTGTACTTCAATTTGGCACAAAACAATATGCTCAAAAAATAGTAGTATCGCAGTCAGTGGTCAGCGTTCCGAATGGATGGAAAAGACATTAGCGCGGCGCTACCAACCTCTTTGGTATTAAATTAATTTTCCTTCTAGCCTTCAGCGCGTTTCTGCTTATCTTGTAAATTGCTCCAAAGAACAAATTGATTCTAATTATGCTTTCTAGAGGTATTATCGTAATCGCTGGGGAAAAGCGTGTCCGTTTCGGGTCCAAAATGTCGTGTCGTTAGCTGCCATTTTCGCACATGATGTTCCCCTTTGCGCTTTTTGCTTTTCCCCAGCTTCTCGAGTTCTTCGTCTCGCTTGAATTTTATTCTTCGGTTCTGGAACCAAACTTTGACCTGCGCCTCAGACAAGTCCAATTCTTTGGCGATTCTCTGTCGTTCTTCTCCGACGATGTAATGATTACCTACGAAACGTTTTTCCAGTCGTTTGAGTTGCTCTGCCGAGAAAGTTGTTCGTGCCCGTTTCTTCTTTGGTGGATACAAACCTGATTCATCCATGTCGGCATATTCAGGATAAGAATAAAAGTCTCCTTTTGAAGAAAACAAAAGATAAAAATACGGTTGTTAAAAGAGAGAGGGTATCAGAGTTTTCGTTGAAACTATTTTTTATTAGTTTGCGTTACGCAAGTATCCACATTCCACTGAAATGAAATTTAATTTAGTTCGTGCGGTGCGTTTCTCATCATTTACGTGTATATTTTTTTCCTTTTGGTACTCTAAAGTTAAGCGCTGTCTTATCTCAAGCCAGGAAACAAGTTGTTTATTTACCTCTTCCGGTCAGGAATTATTCTACAAATTCGTTTGTTGCGTTTCGTGAAGGCAGATTGATAAAATTGCAAAACTCCTACACTAACAAAAGTTTGAACCGCATGGAAAATTACATGTTGTCGAGAAAACTACTGAAACGCTTGTTTTCTGTTTTACTGCCAGGCAACTTCATCGCAGAGCAGATCCATGCTAATAATTGCCCTTGGTTGTTAAAAGAAAATGGAATTCATCAAAAGAGTAGATATATTCTTGGGCTATTTCTAAAGTCGCGCTGAGAACCCTTACAAATGCTGATCTGTTTGAGACCCACATCGGCGACAAGTTAAATCTGTGTCCCATTTTGTAAACTAGTTCAAATTATGAAACTGTAAGTGAGCCGTATAATTGGTAAGGAGGAAGATATCCCTTGATATTAAGGAATACAGACCGAAGATTTCGTGTCTGATAACCTGATAAAACATGATCCGAAAATCGGTTTTCGATGTCGACCCTCTCTAAACAAATTTTAGTTTTCGATCTTCTCAGCTTAATATTGTTTTGAAGGGTAGTAAAGTGACTTCATTTCATTTCTTTTCACGATAATTGCTCAATTCGAAAGCTTGCTACTTTGATGAAGTTATCAATCAGTTTTTTAACGATTCAATTCTTGCGCACGCTGGCGAGATTCAACAGCCGGCTATCACTGTTTAAATATTCAATCTAGCAATTCCTGTTTGACGCTAGTTTACGGTTGTCTTGTCGGCCATGTCGCCAGCGGCTCACTAACGTATACATCAATAGCAGGGTTTATTGGAGGTTAAACGAATCCTTTTGCTGTCCTACGATCGCAAGATAGCCGCGACAGCCGATTCGCTTGCCAGTGCTGATGTGGCTACTGAAATTTGTGCTCAAATACTAT